CCCACACCCACACCCACACCCACACCCACACCCTTCGTCTCTATATTATCCGACATGCAGAATCAGAAATCAATGCTGCTTCCACTCATATTTGCGGTCAGAATATTCCATGTATGTTAAGTCCACTTGGCAATGAACAAGCAATGTTATTAGGCAGAGTTTTATCATAGACATATTTCTTTATTGTTATTTGTTTTTTTTTTGATTCATAGGCAAACGTTTAAAATATCAAAATATCAAATTTGATTCTATTCTATGTTCAACAGCTGTTCGTGCACAACGAACAGCAGAAATTGCATTAAAAACTATGAATATTGACATATCAAAATTAATCATTTCAAGTGAACTTCTAGAACAATCTCAAGGTAGTTGGGAAGGTATGAGTCGAGCGTTAGCTTTTACTCCAGAAGTAATACAACAATGGAATGAATTACATTTTGAATTCTGTCCTCCAAATGGTGAGTCAAAACGAATGGTACAAAAACGTGCTTTAGCTTACCTAGAACCGATTATTGAACAAGCAAAAAATCAAAGTCTAGAAGAAAATCGTGAAATATCAATTGGTATTTTTACACATGCAAATTTAATACAATCTATATTACAATATTATTTACAAAGTAATCCAAAATATGCATGGCTTATTAAACAAAATAATACAGCAATTAATGAAATTCTATTAAATGAACATGGAATATCTGTTGTTCAAGTAAATGATGATAGTCATTTGAGATTTTTAATTCCAGAAATGCAAAATGAATCATTAGACAATCTATGATTATGAACAGATAAATAGTTGATGTTTTTTTTCTTGTTTAATAATTTGAATTAATGAAAAATGTAATAAATATATCGGTTTTGTTTTAAATTGTAACTATTGTCAAAGAAATGTAAGAGAGACTCCTGACTTGAAACCATTTCAAATCAGGATGTGAGTATAGATAATTGTTTCACTGACACACACACATAATTACCTCACGTCATAAATCAATACAAATAAATCTAACGTTTTCTTTGACTTGTTCAGTGGTTTGTCAATCGTATTGAAAGTCGTTATTCAACATGTCGCCATCGTTATACAAAAATCATGTGCATAAAACAAATGAGGTAAACAATACTACAATTAAGTTATCTGGATATGAACCAAATTCTCCGAGGCGAAAAAAGTAGAATCATAAGAGTCGTATGATTTCCTGGAATCTATTCAATTTATAAAATTCAATAAAAGAAAAGAGAGCTCGTATCAGAAATGTCGATATCCAATCTTGAACTTCTGCTTATTAAATAATTTGGAAAAAATTGGTTATATCAAAAAGTTAACCAACACGAATTTCATTCATGATTTTTTACAGACATTTAATAAACACATGCGTCCTTCCCTGAGAGTGATGGTGTCATGGAAATCTTTATTACATACACTTTAGCACATATCTCTCTGGGTGTGGGTGTGTATGAGGGTGTGGATGGTGGTCATCTTTTCATCCACACCCACATCCACACCCACATCCACACCCACACCCCACACCCCACCCACATCCACACCACACCCACACCCACACCCACACCCACACCCACACCCTTATTCTCAATCATTTTTTCTGTGGAAAATAGCATTATTCTGATGGACTTTCATTTTTCCTCTGATGAAAAAATATATATAACCAAAACATAAAATCATTTTTCGT